CGCACCGCCACCTCCGCCACCCGCACCGGCGAGGCGAAGGACACGGTGAGCTGGTACGTGCCTTGGTCCCGCCGGGCGGGCGCCCACGAGCCTGCCTTCAGCGTCGCGCAGTCGCCCTCGTTGTGCGAGGGCGGGCCGACCGCCTCCTCCTCTGCCCAGTCTCCGCCGTACTCGGACGTCGCGTACGCCTCTGCCGCGTACTGCGTCACCTCGAGGTCGCACGGCCCTGGCGGCCTGCCGGGGAGCGGCGGCGGAGGCAGAGGCGGCGGCGGAGGCAGAGGCGGCGGCGGAGGCGGGGTGGAGGACGCACACTCACGCCAACCCGCGCCACGGAACAAGGTGGACGACGCGTCGCTACCGCAGCTCGAGGGGTCGACGACGTAGCAGAACCGCTCTCTGTTGCCGTCGTGTACGGCGCAGCCAAGCCGACTTGTACGCACCCCGCCGCTCACGCCGTCCGACGCGCAGTCGCAAGCGCCTAAGAAGTTCCGAGAAGCGTGAGCTCGGAGAGAGTTCGGCGAGGGGTTCGCGGGAGCGGCGGCAAGCGGCACCCAGAGCCTCCCCTGCGCAGCCGACCACCCGCACCGCATCTACGTACTCCCAAGCCGCAGAGTCTGTGCGCGACGTGAGGCGTATGCGGCTCGTGAGGGCGGTTGGCGCGAGGAGCGAGATGACCTTGTCGAAGCCGCAGGCCGTGTCGTCGTCGCCCTCCCACGCCACCGCCCACCCCCCTCGACCCGCCTCGGCCTGCGTCCACGCCTCGACCCTCTGCAGGAAGCCGGCCGCCTCGCGCGGGTTGGCGTGCTCGCGCACCGCCACCTCCGCCACCCGCACCGGCGAGGCGAAGGACACGGTGAGCTGGTACGTGCCTTGGTCCCGCCGGGCGGGCGCCCACGAGCCTGCCTTCAGCGTCGCGCAGTCGCCCTCGTTGTGCGAGGGCGGGCCGACCGCCTCCTCCTCTGCCCAGTCTCCGCCGTACTCGGACGTCGCGTACGCCTCTGCCGCGTACTGCGTCACCTCGAGGTCGCACGGCCCTGGCGGCCTGCCGGGGAGCGGCGGCGGAGGCAGAGGCGGCGGCGGAGGCAGAGGCGGCGGCGGAGGCGGGGTGGAGGACGCACACTCACGCCAACCCGCGCCTCGGAACAAGGTGGACGACGCGTCGCTACCGCAGCTCGAGGGGTCGACGACGTAGCAGAACCGCGCTCCGTTGCCGTCGTGTACGGCGCAGCCAAGCCGACTTGTACGCACCCCGCCGCTCACGCCGTCCGACGCGCAGTCGCAAGCGCCTAAGAAGTTCCGAGAAGCGTGAGCTCGGAGAGAGTTCGGCGAGGGGTTCGCGGGAGCGGCGGCAAGCGGCACCCAGAGCCTCCCCTGCGCAGCCGACCACCCGCACCGCATCCACGTACTCCCAAGCCGCAGAGTCTGTGCGCGACGTGAGGCGTATGCGGCTCGTGAGGGCGGTTGGCGCGAGGAGCGAGATGACCTTGTCGAAGCCGCAGGCCGTGTCGTCGTCGCCCTCCCACGCCACCGCCCACCCCCCTCGACCCGCCTCGGCCTGCGTCCACGCCTCGACCCTCTGCAGGAAGCCGGCCGCCTCGCGCGGGTTGGCGTGCTCGCGCACCGCCACCTCCGCCACCCGCACCGGCGAGGCGAAGGACACGGTGAGCTGGTACGTGCCTTGGTCCCGCCGGGCGGGCGCCCACGAGCCTGCCTTCAGCGTCGCGCAGTCGCCCTCGTTGTGCGAGGGCGGGCCGACCGCCTCCTCCTCTGCCCAGTCTCCGCCGTACTCGGACGTCGCGTACGCCTCTGCCGCGTACTGCGTCACCTCGAGGTCGCACGGCCCTGGCGGCCTGCCGGGGAGCGGCGGCGGAGGCAGAGGCGGCGGCGGAGGCAGAGGCGGCGGCGGAGGCAGAGGCGGCGGCGGAGGCGGGGTGGAGGACGCACACTCACGCCAACCCGCGCCACGGAACAAGGTGGACGACGCGTCGCTACCGCAGCTCGAGGGGTCGACGACGTAGCAGAACCGCACTCCGTTGCCGTGGTGTACGGCGCAGCCAAGCCGACTTGTACGCACCCCGCCGCTCACGCCGTCCGACGCGCAGTCGCAAGCGCCTAAGAAGTTCCGAGAAGCGTGAGCTCGGAGAGAGTTCGGCGAGGGGTTCGCGGGAGCGGCGGCAAGCGGCACCCAGAGCCTCCCCTGCGCAGCCGACCACCCGCACCGCATCCACGTACTCCCAAGCCGCAGAGTCTGTGCGCGACGTGAGGCGAATGCGGCTCGTGAGGGCGGTTGGCGCGAGGAGAGAGATGACCTTGTCGAAGCCGCAGGCCGTGTCGTCGTCGCCCTCCCACGCCACCGCCCACCCCCCTCGACCCGCCTCGGCCTGCGTCCACGCCTCGACCCTCTGCAGGAAGCCGGCCGCCTCGCGCGGGTTGGCGTGCTCGCGCACCGCCACCTCCGCCACCCGCACCGGCGAGGCGAAGGACACGGTGAGCTGGTACGTGCCTTGGTCCCGCCGGGCGGGCGCCCACGAGCCTGCCTTCAGCGTCGCGCAGTCGCCCTCGTTGTGCGAGGGCGGGCCGACCGCCTCCTCCTCTGCCCAGTCTCCGCCGTACTCGGACGTCGCGTACGCCTCTGCCGCGTACTGCGTCACCTCGAGGTCGCACGGCCCTGGCGGCCTGCCGGGGAGCGGCGGCGGAGGCAGAGGCGGCGGCGGAGGCAGAGGCGGCGGCGGAGGCGGGGTGGAGGACGCACACTCACGCCAACCCGCGCCTCGGAACAAGGTGGACGACGCGTCGCTACCGCAGCTCGAGGGGTCGACGACGTAGCAGAACCGCGCTCCGTTGCCGTCGTGTACGGCGCAGCCAAGCCGACTTGTACGCACCCCGCCGCTCACGCCGTCCGACGCGCAGTCGCAAGCGCCTAAGAAGTTCCGAGAAGCGTGAGCTCGGAGAGAGTTCGGCGAGGGGTTCGCGGGAGCGGCGGCAAGCGGCACCCAGAGCCTCCCCTGCGCAGCCGACCACCCGCACCGCATCCACGTACTCCCAAGCCGCAGAGTCTGTGCGCGACGTGAGGCGTATGCGGCTCGTGAGGGCGGTTGGCGCGAGGAGCGAGATGACCTTGTCGAAGCCGCAGGCCGTGTCGTCGTCGCCCTCCCACGCCACCGCCCACCCCCCTCGACCCGCCTCGGCCTGCGTCCACGCCTCGACCCTCTGCAGGAAGCCGGCCGCCTCGCGCGGGTTGGCGTGCTCGCGCACCGCCACCTCCGCCACCCGCACCGGCGAGGCGAAGGACACGGTGAGCTGGTACGTGCCTTGGTCCCGCCGGGCGGGCGCCCACGAGCCTGCCTTCAGCGTCGCGCAGTCGCCCTCGTTGTGCGAGGGCGGGCCGACCGCCTCCTCCTCTGCCCAGTCTCCGCCGTACTCGGACGTCGCGTACGCCTCTGCCGCGTACTGCGTCACG